TATAGGCTTCATGATTTGTCTCCGCGACCGTGATTCTCTCTTTTCTAATCTCTGTGTCTCGATGAATTTCCCAACATCTGTCTGAATCTTTTTTTATTATTTCAAGAATATCAATTTAACCTCTACCTCCGATCATCGTAAGACTTTCTTTCTTTCTTTCTTAACTCTTTGTTGAATCGAACTTCTTCGTTTCTTGGCTTCCGATGTTTTTATTTCATATATATTGAGATGAAAACTCAGAATTGTGTTCTTTAATCCTTGATTGTCGGTCATGAAATCATTGTTAAGATTCTACAAATTCGGAATTGTTTTCTTTATCCTCTGAATTTTGTTTTTAGCTTAGAAATCATTCATTATTCCCAATAATAATATGTCTTGTTCAGAAAATCTGTTAAATCCTGTAATTGGTAAARTTATGTCCTGAGATTTCTGTATTTGCTCACACAAAGATGAAATTCCGATATTCGTTGATGAGAGTGTTAATGTGTTGTTATGCCATTTCTGAATTCAGTATTAGTCTTCTATGCGTTGTTGCTTCACTGAAACATGTTTTTTTTATATACTCCAGTTAGTACAGTACAGTACAGTCTTAAGAGTCTCCTTGTATGTTTCTTTATTTTTCAGTCTTTTCTTTGTGAATGGCTGAGGTTAAAAGTGCTCAAGTTGAACCCCATCAAGAAGCATCTGAGGCTACTGTGATCGGAGATGTTGTTAGTGAYASTGCTGCAACAGTAAATCCTGAGTTGAACCAATCGGCTATTCAAGATACCAACATACAATCTGCAACAAAGGTTGACAATTCTTCTGAAGATGCTGGACAGTCTCAACCAGATGGCTCAGTTGGTGATTCAGTTATCGCTTCTGATCCTGCAACTGGTGCGGGATTAGTACCCGAAAATGAAATTCCTAATCCAACAACTGAAGAAGCGTCGAAGCCAAATGAGCTTACCAGTGAGATTGGTTTACCTCGTGTAAAGATTACCGAGGCTGCTGTTGGTACAACAAGAAATGGTGGATCACCTAGAACTCTATCATCTCCAAGAAATGTTGGATCTCCTAGAGCACTCTTGTCTCCAAGATTCTCGGGTTCACCGGTGACCACTGGAACGCCCAAAAATATGGACTCGTATAGAGGTGTAATCGATACTGCAGCGCCATTTGAATCTGTTAAAGAAGCTGTCTCAAAATTTGGAGGAATTACTGACTGGAAATCTCACCGGATGCAAGCAGTAGAGGTAGTATACTAGTAAAGATATATATATACATGTGTTTGATTATTCGTTTTGTTGTCTTTCTTGTTCACCTTTTCATGTGCGTTTTTGCAGAGGCGTAAGCTTATAGAAGAGGAGCTTAAAAAGATCCAGGAGGAGATTCCTGAGTACAAAACTAACTCGGAAACTGCCGAGGCTGCAAAACTGCAAGTGCTTAGGGAGCTAGAAAGCACAAAGAGGCTCATAGAACAGTTGAAGCTTAATCTGGAGAGGGCACAAACAGAAGAACAACAGGCAAAGCAGGACTCGGAACTTGCTAAGCTGAGGGTTGAGGAGATGGAACAAGGAATATCTGACGATGTGAGTGTTGCAGCTAAAGCACAGCTTGAGGTGGCCAAGGCGAGGCATACATCGGCAATTACCGAATTGCAGTCTGTTAAGGAAGAGCTAGAAACTCTGCACAAGGAATATGATGCTCTGGTGAAAGATAAAGATGTGGCCGTCAAGAAAGTTGAAGAAGCAATGTTGGCATCAAAAGAAGTCGAGAAGAGCGTTGAAGAACTCACCATAGAGCTGATAGCTACAAAGGAGTCACTGGAATCAGCACATGCGTCTCATTTGGAGGCCGAAGAACAGAGAATTGGAGCAGCTATGGCCAGAGACCAGGATACGCACCGCTGGGAGAAGGAACTGAAGCAAGCAGAGGAGGAAGCCCAAAAACTGAACCAACAGATACTTTCTTCCAAGGATCTAAAATCAAAGCTTGACACTGCCTCAGCGTTGCTTCTTGATTTAAAGGCAGAATTGGTAGCTTATATGGAATCCAAGCTAAAGCAGGAAGCATGTGACTCAATCAAAAACAGCGATCTTCCGACGGAAAACATGAGCCATCCAGATTTACACACAGCTGTTTCCTCTGCAAAGAAGGAACTTGAAGAAGTCAATCTCAAAACCGAGAAAGCAGCTGAAGAAGTGAATATCTTAAAAGTAGCCTCCTCTTCCTTGCAACTGGAACTTGAGAAAGAAAAGTCTGCTCTTGCCTCGATCAAACAAAGAGAAGGAATGGCCTCCATAGCAGTTGCTTCTCTAGAAGCTGAGATCGACAGAACGAGGTCGGAAATAGCTTCCGTTCAGTCAAAGGAGAAAGAAGCAAGAGACAAAATGGTGGAGCTACCCAAGCAACTTCAGCAAGCAGCAGAAGAGGCTGATGAAGCAAAGTCGCTTGCTGAACTTGCTCGTGAAGATCTACGAAAGGCCAAAGAAGAAGCAGAACAAGCAAAGGCTGGAGCAAATACAATGGAGACCAGGCTATTTGCTGCGCAAAAAGAAATCGAGGCAGCTAAAGCTTCAGAGCGGCTGGCCTTAGCCGCCATCAAGGCTTTGGAAGAGAGCGAATCAACATTGAAGGCTCATGGCATGAATTCTCCACGAAGCGTTACAATCTCACTAGAAGAGTACTACGAGCTCAGCAAACGTGCTCACGAGGCAGAAGAACTGGCGAACGCAAGAGTAGCAGCAGCGGTTTCTCAGATAGAGGAAGCTAAAGAAACAGAAATGAGAAGCTTGGAGAAGCTGGATGAAGTAAACAGAGACATGGATGCAAGAAAGAAAGCACTAAAACAAGCAACCGAAAAGGCTGAGAAGGCGAAAGAAGGGAAGTTGGGGGTGGAACAGGAGCTGAGGAAGTGGAGGGCAGAGCATGAACAAAAGAGAAAGGCTGGTGATGGAGTCAACACAGAGAAAATCCAAAGAGCAAGCTCTGAAGGAGCAAAGGAGGTAAGTAAGTTGGAGCAATCACCTGAGGCTGCGGTTTATGCCTCCAGCCCAACTGAGTCATATGGAACAGAAGATAACTCTGAAACCAATCAAACCCCACCAACCAAATCTGGAAAGAAAAAGAAGAAGCTTTCGTTCCCACGGATTTTTATGTTCTTGTCAAAGAAGAAGTCACATACTTGAGTTCATTACCAATATAACAACACATAAGTCTCTGTTTCTACCTCATTTACTGGAACTTTGTTCTTATAAAGGACTCCATTTGAACAAGTGTATTGTGATGTAAATGGTGTTTTTTGTGCATTGTATTATTCGGGTCAAAACAACAAACTCGACGAGGAAATAAAAAGTTATTCATCTTGTAAAAACGGTGTATTGTATTGGTGGTATATATACATATCATTTGTAGTTATAAATGTACGTAAGGTAATTGCTTTACATAGGTGATCTCGACCAAAGTTCTCACAGTTGATAACATAGTTACATGAGAAACAAATGAACAATCCATCCACACCTCAATTCTAAAAATTTTACATCAAAGATTCTGTTTTAACACCCAATGATCACAGACTGTGTCATCTCGTTGACACTTATCAAATCCGTAAACCGGGATTCGTCATCTCCAGCGTGCAACGCAAATGTGGGCTGTTTTGGAGGTGGAAGATCTGATGTTGAGGTGAGCATAGAGAGCAACTCAAGTGTATTGGGTCTGTCCGCAGGTTGGTGCTGAACACAAAGCAGACCAATCTGCACGCATCTCCCAACTTCTAATGGGTGACATGAATCAGCAAGATCTTGGTCCAAAACATCAATTCCTCCTTTTTCAGACCAAGATTCCCATGCCTGTTGTGGTTTCAAAATAAGCATTTATAAGAGCAAGAAACGTTTTAAAACAAACAGTGGAATCTCTGCACTCGATGTGTATCAATACCTAAAGTTTTACTTACATATGCAAGAAGGGTTTTTCCTTCTTTGCCATAGCTGAACCTTGAGATCTTCTCCCCGCTGATGATTTCTAATAGCAGAACTCCGAAGCTGTAAATGTCCGACTTCTCAGAGAACATCCCAGTCCATGCATACTCAGGAGCCATATATCCTCTGTACATATATATCAAATACTTTATGATTATATCTACGAATCCTAGTTAATTATGGTTTCTAAGATGGGTTCTTACAGAGTTCCTACAACCCTGTGAGTGTTGTCCTGATATTGTGTTCCCTGATACATACGAGCCAAACCAAAATCTGATATTTTTGGGTTCATTTTTTCGTCCAGAAGAATGTTGCTGACCTTCAGGTCTCGGTGAATTACCCTGAGGCGTGAGTCATGGTGCAGATAAAGAAGTCCACGCGCAATACCTTGAATGATATCAAATCTCGTTGGCCAATCAATCTCGAGCTTTTTTCTTGAATCTATGCAACAATACCGTGTAATAACTATCAGATAAACAGTCAATGGAGTGAAAAATCTGCTAACAGTAAAGGAAGGATGCAAGAAGGAACGGACCAAAGAGAAAGGTATCAAGACTTTTGTTCACCATAAACTCATAAATCAATAGCTTTTCTTCTCCTTCGATGCAGCATCCCAAAACCCGGACTAAGTTTCTGTGTTGGAGTTTTGAGATAAGTACTAATTCATTCATAAACTCCTCTTTTCCCTGTCCAGAGCTGCTAGAAAGCCGTTTTACCGCGATTTCCTTTCCGTCTTGCAGTTTTCCCTAAATCAAGTTGCAAATGTCATCTCGAGAAAATAGAGAAAAGAGAAAAAAGTGAAGAGGATAAAAAGTTTTTGACCTTGTACACGGAACCAAATCCACCTTGTCCGAGTTTGTTTGATAGGCTGAAATTATTGGTAGCAGTTTGTATGGTATTCATCTCAAAAAAATCTAAACCTGGGACATCTTGTTGTTTCAAATCCTTCCTCCATGCATTCTTTGATATATGAGCTGAAATTTGAGTTAGTAGTGGTGTGTTAGTGCTTGACATCTAGTAACCTAGCCAAGTACGCATATTAAGAGTTTGTAACAAATGTATGATTGTTTTGTTGGAAGCAAATGAATGGATGAACAATGACAGATCAACAGATAGTAAAAGTCATTGATGTGTTACCGTTATGTACCACTCTACACCTCCAGAAACCAAACGCAGCGAAGCCCAAGATCACAAAAAGGGTAAGGCTCACTGTCGTAGCAACAATGGTCTTCTTGTGCTTATTTCCATCTGAGAATGTAGGAAAACAAATTAAACAAACAGTCATGCTCTTATCGAAAAGAGATATTAATGAAGTTTAATGATCTATACCTATTCAGGAAAAAGAGAGATATGGAAAAGAGATAACAATGAATATTAACTTCTATAAAAGACAAAGGTCTTTGAATTATTTTCTAAGCCATACCAAATTCAGAATGTGCAAGACGAATGGAAAGAAGTTCTCCTCCCACAGAAAATTGCACAGCGTCCATAAGGTCCTGGTTCCACACTAGGCAGCCTATTCCATTAATATAAGCAAAGGCCATGCAAGAACAATTGTGGAGGCAACTTTCGTAGCATCCTTCAGCATCCATAGTACTTAAAAATTTGTAAAAGTCTGGAGGCTTTATGTTGGCAAAAGAATGGAAAGCATCTGCAGCTTTGCCAGTAGAATTTCCTTGACAATGTAGTTCGGTACGCCTCACACAACCATCAGTCCAATTTCCTCTTTTCCATTCCTCAATGAATTTTGGTACAAACCCTTTGAAGCATTTACACTTTGGAGATGCTGACTCAACACACAACCCAAAAGGTCCACATACACCATAAAAATTGCATGAATTGGCTGGAGCCTCAAAGTCTACTACCCAGTCGGTCCCAGTATGCCGAAAAATCTTCAGTGAGCCTTCTGATGTTAATATTATACGTGGAGGTTTGAAGCTTCTGTCTAAATAAAAGAAAGATACTGACCCGTTTGCATCCTGTTGAAGGCTAAATGGACTTGTTAACGATGCATCCATTACTGGTATCCCAGTGAACCTTGTTTTAGCCCATGGACCGCTTCTCCAATAAGGCGTCGAGCCTCTCATAGTAAACACCTGTGATGGCACTTGTGGTGTGATCTGACCCACAAATTCGCCAGGCGATGGATCAGTGTAACTTTTCCAAGAAGTCAACACACGCTTCTCACCAGTGGTGAGATTATACATCAGGGTTGAGAAAGGGAGCATAGTATCACCAAGATGCTCAAAGCTTTGCCATAGAGTTCTTCCCGAAATATTGTCTATGACAATAAGATTCCCGTTGTCTAAAAGCTCTGCACGAGACCCGTTAGATGTGATAGTTTCTCCGATGGACCATACAATACCATGTTTTCCATCCGACAAGAGAAGATTTCCATCGCTGCTTATAGTCAGATTTGCCGTGGAGCCTGTAACAGGCCTTTCTCTATTGGCCACCCACACAACAACCCGGGGAATGGTAGCCTTCAACCAAATTCCAACATATTGATTGTGGGTATTATTAGGACTGAAGAACCCCAATTGATACACCTCGCTCGACGAGCTGAGAGTTTGGCCTATTAACAAAGGACTAGTTGGGGTTATAGCTGCATAGCTAACACTCAAGAGCATTGTAAACAAAAGCAAACAAGTAAAGAAAAACATCGTCATCCCCATGTGAGTTCTTGTGCCACCAAGAAAGACCTCCTTCGAATCAGTGTAAAAAGCGACCATGTATACAAGAGAAAGTAAGCCAAGAAAACAAACTAAAGGACTTAATTAGAAGTCTTCTCCAGCATCTCTAACCAATGTTGACCGACCACAACACACCCATCTTCCAAGATTATGGATTACTTTATTCACAATCAACTAAATCCTTGTTTGCTAGTACAAATTTTTTAAGTAAAATGAAATGCTTATATATACAAGTTGGCTCCAAACAATTCAAGTTGACCTCATATTGAAACATTGGGTCATTTTCATGTCCTTGTTGATTCGCTAAGCACAGAACCAATAGCAAATAGCAACACTCTCAACCAATCAAAGGATGAGAATTATACCCCTTACCTTTCATAGTCTGAACCAAGAAATCAAACCTTTTACGCAATCAAACGATGCACAGTTGACCAGAATCAGTGAGACTGTGAGAGATAGACATCATTTAATATTAACATCAGAAGCTTCAATCGAGGTTTCGTTCAGGCATATCACCGAACACTTACAGTGCGTCAATCCAAATCTCAAGGCTGCTATTGAAACCTCGATTGAGAAGATAGAAGACGCGAGAGTGTGGCCCATAGATCCAATTCCCACCTTCTGAGCTTCATTGGTGTGTAGCCAGCGAGAACATAAATGCAAAGACCATCCATTAAGTTGCTAATGTTCTAACTAAAAACAATTTCCAGGTTTTAGAGAAATTGACAAATTCAATCGTAATTATGTCTCTTCTCGTTCTACAGGGAGAGCGACAGTAAACAACCTATCAGATGTCAAAGGCTTAGCTCCAACCTTAACAATGAGATTTTGTTTTTCTGATTTGGTAAGAGAAAAATCATGGAAATGAAGAAGAAGAATGTTGTGACCAAAAAAAAAAAACACAGAAGAAAAAGAATGTTTGGTCAAAACCAATGTTTTGAAAATCGGACCGGACCGGAGGTCGGACCGGGTTCGACCGTGAACCGATCGGCTAGCCGGATTGGGTTGATCCGGTTTAAGTTTTTTTTTTCTTTAAATTTCCATTTTTTCATTTAATATTTTTATGATTAAAATTTACAGAAACAAATACTGAATTTAGTTAATTTTTGTTATGGTTTAATGTTTTTAATTTTTTTTGTTTACATATAAACTTAACTATTTTTCATCAAACTTTGTCTTTGAATAGTTTTTTTGTTATTAAAATGATTTTCTTCATGATTAATTTTTAAAAATATGTTTATTCAAAGGCTATATTATATATTTGGATATTATAGTTATACAAAAACTATTTATATTATTATTTTTTTTAAAACTATTAAATCCGGTTTGACGGTTCGACCCGGTCGGACCACATTGATCCATGACCTAAAAGTTTTTCTGGTTCGGCCGCCGGTTCGGTTTTAAAAAGATTGGTCAAAACGGCCTAGTTTTGGTAATTTTTTTTATACAAACGACCAAAGCCACATCGTTCTACTCAATATATACTTTTTATTATAAGAAAATTTACTCTGCGTCCATAAAAATTACTCTTGTGTGACGCATGAGCACAGTTGGATCAGCCTACATCAGTTGTTGGGTGTAGCGGTGATGGAGCTTCCCCCGATTTCGTGCTTCTCGGAAGAATTTTGAAGTGGTTTAAAGGATTAAATCGGGTTCTGATTTCGGCGTCTTCATTGATGGGTTTTGAGATCGGCAGAAGGGGGAAGGATTCTCGTCGTTTCGGGGCTGATTGGTGGCGACTAATCGGAGGTCCACGGCGGTCCGGTGAAGGTTGACGGCCGTGCCTGCAGTCTCAATGCGTGGTCTTTAGAGGAACACGTATTCTGTTACTCTTCATTGTAATCCTCTCATGGGCTAAGCCTTCTGTAATTGCCTTTGGGCTTTAGTAGTATATATGTTAATTGTCGACC